AATTCCAAAGTGCCCTTAAAAAGGCAATCGTTTCTTAAAAGCATTCACTTTTCAGTTTTATCAAACACAAAGTCAAATGGGCGCTCATTGCTGGAACAGGATGGAGTTCCTTTCCCCGCCATACCAGATGGATGAGAAGAACAACGAAAGTGAACGAAGAAAGAAAAAAAAGCGAATAAAATCGAAAAGTGATGGCGAAACGAAATGAAATGACTGTAGCTAAAAGTTTTCCGTACTTTTATTTATTATATGCTTGTCGCTTTTTCTATTCGCGATGCCGAATGGGAAAGGAAGAGCCGGAGAGTGTGAGTGAAAGAGTGCCAAAGACATGAATAAATTGTACGAATGCGGGCAAGCGGAGAAAAATTAAAAGTTGCCATTCTAATCGGCGGTGGTGTTTTTGTTCTTTCAACTCGATGCTCATTGCTCATCATTGTGTTCAAATGAGAAAAATGCGCGTGGCGAGAAGAGAAAAAAACGACCATCACCAAAACCATATTGAGCAGGGCTGAACGGAAATACGCGCGTCCCAATTCAAAGTGGTAAGAAACATTCACAATCACAAAAAAGGAAAACGATGTGCAAAGAAGTATGAAGAAGAAACGGGAGAGAGAAAAAAAAAACTTAACCAGAGAAAATAAAATGAAAAGAAAAGAAGAAACTCTTTTCAACATTAAAACTTCCTATCGAAAAGTTGTTTAGTTGTTTGCCAAACACAGGAAAAAGGCGAGCAAATGAAATCAGAGTCGAAAAAAGTCTATTTCTAAAACAAGAACCAAAGTACTTTTCAAACAAATAATGTTAAGGGAAAGAGAGCGTGCGCGTGAAATAGAGAAATGCAAAAAAGAAAATGTGGAGAGAGAGAGAGAGAAAACAAAAACAAAAAATAAATTACACATATAAAATGCTTTCTAAAAGCTTGCCACGGGTTTCTGCTATTCAGGCCATGTCAGCGGTGTTGGTGGAAAAAGGCGAGCGAGGTTCGCGCATACGACAATCTAAGTGATAATGTTTGCAAGAAAATGGTGATTCAAATTCTTAATATAACGATGTCGCTGCAAATGACTCGACTTGAAGAAACAAATTAAAGGAATTTACCGTTCTGTTCGCTCGCGTCACAGCTACATTTTCTTTCTACATTTCAATATAGGAAGAGGTTCTTCCACCGCCACTGAATAAAAATGTGGTGTCATTTCCATGCGAGAACGAGAGTAACAGAGAACGAGAGAGAGAAGAGAGAGCAAAAAACGCACAAATGAAAATTACGATCCAACGTTGGATTAGCATGTGCCACCCGCTTTGTCATTCGACAACACCTTTAACCACTTACAGCACGAGATGAAAAACACATAGGATGTTGTCGACTTGTGACAATTAGATTTAATTTTCTCTCCACCCAACACTTACTGATGCTGTTGTTGTTGTTGAAGATGCCATTTTCATTTCAAAATTCCATCGTTATCATCTTTATCGAGGAAAATGGTGTCAATATGCATGCAATTTCCGGCAATGTTTTAATATACATCGTTCGCGCACTCATTGCAAATTGAACTGTGCTTAGGCGGAGCTGTTCATTGCAATTGATGCTCACTGCCACTCTCTTTTGCTGCCATTGATGCTGTTGCTCTTTCTCATGACCTGAAGGCAAAATATAAAAAAAAACGAAATTGCATTTACATTCACTGACAGTGTCATATCATTATGCCAATGCCAATATCCATTACCATCACCATTACTTTTACATAATTTAAAACATGCACGTTTCATTCTCTCTTGCACTTTGTTTTCACCACCACCGCCACCATCATCAACGGGGCACAAATGAGCTCTTTTCTCCCCATCTCTCTCTCTCACTCTCTTTCACTCTCTATCGTTCTTTTTCGCTCTCGCTCTTTCGCTCGACTTCAATTTTACGCTTATCTTTTCATTTCCCAGAGAGACAAAGATATATAGATAGAAAGAGTGGTGTTGACTGACTGCACAGACAAAACTATTAATGTTTGTCGCGCGAAAATTTCATCAAAAATAAATTGCATGTTATAAAGAACATATTCATACACAAAGAATGGCGTTTTCAAGTGCATATCATTGAGCAAAAATGAGCGAGCTTGTTATCGTCGCACTAGAAAGTGGCAACGGCCTGAATATTACATGAATTGACACTGTTTGATACAAACGCCAAAGCAAATTAAAACTGAATGAAAACTAAAGAAAAATCGTCCTTCAAATGCGAAGAACGAAATGGCAGCAGAAGAAAAAATAATAAAAAATAAAATAACCGACACTCTGCAAAACTACAAAGGGAAATGTTAATTAGGATAGAGAAACAGAATGAGTTGAATAACACTATATGCACCATCTAAAGTGGTTCGTTTAGCTTCGAAAAAAGACTTTTGGCAGTACATATAAAACGGAGCCAACAACAACACCGCAGCTATATTTTGAAAATAACAACCCCGGCCACATCCAAAGCATCGTCATTTCGTTAAAAGCTCTTTTAATGCTATTAAACAAAGTTTTTTTTCTCTCTCTCTCTCTCTCTCTCGTATTCGATGGTGTTCATGCTGTTGAAATTTATACTACTCTTATGGTGTATATCATGTTGGTTTTTGCCACTAGCTATTATCCATGTTCTGAACGTATTCTATTCATCATTTTTTTATATTTTGAATAAAAAAAATTGACACATAAACGCATTAGACGGCTAATTGTATATAAAAGCGGTTGTAAATACAAAGTTTTCGAATGTTTGCCCCTCTTTTGTCATGCCATCTCGCACTGTTCACGTCGATCCGTCTCTTTCTGAACGGAACGCAACGCAGCGTTATCAACGTTAGTGATGAAGCTCCGCCTCTTCTGATTTGTGCTGCCGTATCTCAATTGCTCACATTTTTCACACATAACTTGTTCATTTGTCTTCGTTCCGCATAAAATGGCGCAAAAGATATTCGCTCTTTTTTTTCCTCTCATATATTTTGTTAGATAGAATACACAAAAATGTAGTTTATTGATTTTTATCAGAATAAAAAAACAACATTCGAAAACAAATTGTTTTATTTTTCGTGTCCATTTAACCATTTGCCATTGCGGACGCGGTATTTGTAATCTCAATTCACATCTGCGACGATATGTATTGTAGTTGCACTTTTTTTGGCATCGATCGAATTGTTGATGCGCATCGAAATCATTAATTCTAAATTCTATACCGTTCGCATGTTGTTCATTTATCACAAAGACTTTGGCGACGTGATAGATAACAAGCAACAACGATAATAGAGCCCAAAATGTAGAATACATATACAAATCTCGTAGCCAAACAGCGTATGATTGGTTATATATAAAGAGAGAATACGTGTGCTGTTGTTATTGTTGCTCTAGAGAGTTTTTTTCTTCTTTCTCTCTTTGTGTCATCGTTTGGGAAGATTTTTGCTATCGCAAAGAGGTGGAGTTATGCTTGGATTGTTTGCTTGCGTGTTAATCACACTGTTTATGCTTTCTTCCCTTCTCTTTGCATCTGTCGGTCTGCTCTGCATATGAAGTGAGTGTGTGTGTATGTATGCAAACGCTCGCGTTCGCGACACCCGCCAAATGTGTGTGTAATGATCTGGTTTCTCTATCAATAAGCAGCACTTCTCCGTCTATGTGATGCTGTGAGGTTTTTTGTCTCACTCGCGACGGCAATCGTTCGATACATTCGCCTGGGTTAAATGCATCAACTTACTCAGAGTTTTTGCCACTGGACACTAAAATAAAGTAAAAAAAATCCGTCTATTTTTCAATCTTAATGCATTTCGACGTGGAAAAATATTTTATACTGAGTAATGCGATAACCCTTTTCTAATGGAGCATTTGTTCGATTTTATTTACTTTATTATTGATTATGTAAGCCAGTCGACTTGAGGCGGTCTACATCGAATAAAGTATGAAAAGAATCCAGATTGTGTTATTCGAAAATAAATCGTTCATAAAAGTAAAGCCCAAATAAATTGCTCCGTTTTTTTCTTGTCTTTTGTGCAAAAAATTTTTTTTGTTCGCTCCATGATCCAATACGAAGGGCAAAAAAGCGATGCGATAATCGTCTTCAAAAAGACACCCTTTTTATCAGCTAATGCCCTTTTTTCGCCGCATTGATCAAACCGAAAGCAAAACAGAGAGAGACAGATTAAGTGTATATAATATTCTTGAATTGTGTGTATGTACTCACATAAAATTCAATCGAACTGCTCCACGCAAGATTTACTCCGATCTCAACCAATACCAAAAAAAAAGATTAATTCAATGACTTCACTTGTAAGTGTTTATCGCATGCGAATGCAAAAAAAATCATCCAACAAATACACACAAATGAAATGGAGAAAAAGAGAAGCAGATAAATGAAATGAATGGACAAAATAAAATGTGCACGAATGGAGGTAATAAGAAGAAAATTAGCAATGAAAACATAACAACAGACGGCATGTAGACGCATCATATGTATATATATGATCGAAGGAATGGACGAGAGAAAGAGAGCGAGAGAAAGCTCAAACCACTGTTTACCATTTGTTACTTTATTATTGTTATTTCACGTATTTATAGGAAAATTAATAAAATATATAGCATACAAGTCGATTGGTTTTGGCTCCAATTGTGTCCGAGTGTGTGTGCGCCTCAGTTGTTGTTGTTTTTTTCTCTCTCTTCATTTTTTCTCCTCGTTTTGCCTTTAAGTGTATTTTTCATTTCAGCATTTTTCCTCGTTTGAAAATACATATGACGATTATTTATTGTGTGCGAGCAAGCGAGCGAATAGAGTTGACGCGCGCGACGACGATGACGACTAAGACTTCGATGTATGTTCGTACAAGCTGATTCGACTGAGTGTGTATGGTGTGTGTGCCCTGTTTCCGTGCTGCTGTTACTGTTGTTGCTGGTGGTGTGTGCATGCAAGCAGTTGTACATTACAAACGGCGTTAATACAATATCATGAGCATTTTGCCAGTTTAGTATTCGTTTGACTTCGATTTGAGACGCTTGGTGTGTTGTGTGTTTTGCGTTTTCGTTTGATTCACAACTAAAAAGAGAATAAAAAAAAAAAACAACAACGAACCGAACAACATAACAGAACGCGAACGTTTTCATCTCTCGTGTCTGCGTTCAGAGTTTTTCGTCGCTTATGTATCCAGATTGATTCGAATATCCCGTAGATTCAGTGGTTAACGCGTGGCAACGTCATTCTTCCGTATCACAAATTGGAGAAGGAACAACAAGAACACAGAGAGATTAGAAACCATTACTGAACCGCTTCTGTATGAGTGACGGCTGCCAAAACCAACAAAATCTATCTCGCCCATCATTCGAAACACATCTCCAAATACATTGTGTATTATTTTTGTTTCGACGTCGCAGTGAATTCCTCCCGAATTACGAAGAGAGAGAGAAGAGAAGAAAAAAAATGATCCGAAGTTCAAGTGATTAGTAAATTATTGTTTTCGCATTTCGTCAGTACGTTACATAGCACTTAACACGACAGATCTAGCTGTACGTGTAAGAGACACTAAAACGAGCATTTTTTTATTCGTGTTTTGATCTGTGCTTTTTACGAGTGATTTCAATCTTTGGAAATCTGATAGGCGACTTTTTTTCTCTGCAGCCGACGGAACTAGTTTAACTTGAAGAAACTTTGACGTGAAATCTGATAAGACGATTTTTAAAAGATCTTTTCTTATATGATAGTTTGAAAGAAAGAGAATTGTAAGAAAATTGAACACTTCCGACAATTTCCAATTTCGGTCAATTTTTTTTTTCGGGTCGACAAATTTTGAATGTGCAAAAGAATAAAAACACGGGGTTAAATTGATCCGGAAAATAAGAATCGCTCGACTGCGGACTATAAAACATGAAAAAGTGATTAGTTTTCTTGATCGACGGCCGAACACAAACACATCATATATTCATTTGTGACATATTCCACATTGGCATTGATTACTTAATACAATGTTGTTAATGCAAAAAAACGAACAACGGCAGTAGAGTACAAATTCACCTGAAAAACAATAACATCCAATTACCAAATACAACGAACTGAAACATCGTGTTTATGTATATGCGCACCTTATCAATCGCGATTGAAACGTTCACAGACAGTAACAATAACAAAAAAAAACGTTTGCTAATTTCAAATGGAATTGATTTTTCAGCCAGCCAACGAAAGAAAGTAAAAGTTTTCTATTCTTTATCAAAAATAGTGTGTTTAGGTGCAATTCAAAGTGATTATTAGTTTATGTTACACACATTTTGCACACGCCGATTATGCAACCGCAATTCGTCTAATATGCACCATACATAGACCCCATCGCCAAAAGAAAGAGAGAGAGAAAAACGTAAAGAAATTAGAAGAAAAGTACGCGCAATAAAGTGAATGTTTTACACACCGCTTGATTTTTGTTGTTCAACTGAAGTTAACTTGTGTGCGCAAAATTGATCGTTTAAATATCAGAAAAAAACACTTGCATTCGAAGAAAGTATTACACCATTTTTTTTTAAAGAAGAAGAAAGAATAAACGAAGCAGCAACAAAATATATATCTGTAAGACAGGCAAATGCAAAAAGAAAAAAAGAGTGCAGTCGAAACAATGAAAACAATTGAATGAATTCGCTGGTGTTAATTGCATTAATTAACTTATTTCTGCGTTAGTTGCAAACGGCGGACGAATCGAAGTGCAACCAAAAACCGAACCATCAGTTGTGTTGAATTTGAATTGAGTGTATGCGTGTAGATGTGCGTATGTTCGGGCGCGATCACTCTTTCGACTCTTTGCAAATTAAATTGTGTTTATAGACTATTTATTACGTGCATTGATTGAGGAACTGAAAATTTTGATTTTTTTTGTTCGTTTCGTTGTTGTTTACCTGTTCAAAACTAAGACATATTTTATGCACACGAATCAATCCACGGTGTATTGTTGTAGCGATTGACGTAACCATTTTGCGAACGAATAAACGTATTTAATGAATAGACATACATATGATAAGGAAATGATACGAGTTTATTATGCCAGTGTTTTAATTGAAATTTTTCGGAATTATCTTTGCGTGGTAAATTGATTCCCCATTATTTTGAATTTAACACAGTTACAGCTAAAATAGAACAATTTTTCGTTAAAACCATACGAAAAAAAAGCGTTGCGCGCAAATCAAAGAGTTTGTATTTTTGAGTTGAGCATAAAAGACGCAATTTCTCACAGAGACAAAGTGTTTGGCCAAATATATCTTTTTCCCCAATAAAGTTTGCGGAATTTTATCAAAATCGTACTCCAGTGGCATTCAACGGGCGTGAGCCCAAAGTCATCAACAATTACGAGCACCGCTGATTTATTATCACCAAACGGTGTATCAGCAGCAGCTGCAAGTGGTTTGACTATGACAGTTCCGATGCAACGTGGATCAATGGCCGTTCTACCGTCTCGCTCACGTTTTATGATCACCGATATTTTGGGCGGTGGTGGTGCTGCAAATGTTGGCGCCGCATTACATTTGAGCCGTGAACATGTTGAAAATGGTGGACGATCACCATCACCCGATAATCCACGCGATCTAAGCGCATCGGCCGCAAACAATAATAACAATCATCTACATCATTTGCATCACAATCTCGGTCTTAATCATCATCATTTGAGTCAACACAATCATTTGCATCGGCATGACGAGGACAGCGATTCGAGCGGACCACTTGATGATGATAACAGTGTTTGTAGCAATGGTAAGTTTTTTTCGAATTATTAGTGTGAAAATAAAACAGCTGGTTTTTGCAAAATCGTCGACAGACAAGAAAAAAAAAACATCGTAAAAGCTGCAACACGGAAAATTGTCACCGAATGACTCATTCTCTTTTCGTGAATAGAATTTCTTTTGTTGAAATATATTTATGCATTTAATAGTTTTCATTTCGAAGACGTTTCATACTCTTTATAGATGTGTGTGTGTGTGCGTATTGTTGACGCGACAAATCGAACGACCCTTTTCTTTTCACCGATTCCAACCGTTCACATGCACACACAAACCATTTCTTCGTCTTTTCTGTCATCGAATAAGATTGTTTCATTGCTTTTGTGTTTGAGTGCGCATTTAAAAAAAAATATATATATAATTTTAAGGCCAATCACAATTTTGATAAGTCAAAGACATTAATCGCATAATCGGATTATATTTAAACTGAATTTTGTGTGACTGGCATCATAAAAACATGTATGGACGAATTCAAATATTTAAACAGACTAAATTAAATCTTAATCAAAATGATTGTTCGACGACGTTCTTACAGTCATGAGCGGTTGTCGTCCAAAAACGGAAAGAACAAAGCCACGCTATATTTCGTATGGAAAATAGAAGAAAACAGAGCCAAAAACGAATTTTGAAACAAGACGATACAGCAAACAACCAGTTTCATGCATGTGTGTGTGTGACAACATAATAATATTTCGTCGCATTTTTTTTCGCTGTTCCGTTTCGTTGGTATTTTTATTCCCTCCAAAACGTCGTTTCCTTTGTTAACATGTAACTGTTGTAATTTTTCAATGACTTTATCGGCCGACGAACGAGATGAAAAGAATTTGTCATCACAATTTAGCAGCGCTCCATTTAAAATATTTTGTTGGAACGATTAACGAACGAGGAAATCGTTTCGTTTTTTTTTGTTAAATCTTTTGAAGCAAAATGTATAACCTCGTTTCTGGGCCAGTCAAGCGATTATATGAATCCTCTGTCTCTTTCGGATATACGCTTCATTCTTGACATTAAACTATTTCAATCCAAATCTCTCACCTGGAAAATGTTCCCATTTCAAATGTTCGTTGCATCCAGACAAACACAAAAATATCAAATTATAATCGTAATTTTGCTGCATGGTTGACCAGTTCATATGGCATTTCGTGAACGAATTTATTTAAAACCGAGAGGATTTAAATAATCTGATGATTTCAAAATTCACTTATTATTTGTGTTTCTACAAAGAAAAATGTTCAATTTAACTAACGCGCTAACGCTCATAAATCATCAAAGGTTGTGATTAAAGAGTTCAAAGTCAGTGAATATCGGTCTTATCGCAGTGTGTGCATTTACCTGTCAATTATGAGCTAATTGAATGGCGCGTCTATAAGCACGATCGCGGCCCCCATTGTCATAAGACGAGATTGAATTGTTTTTAATATCGGTGGGTTTTAATTCATCGGTGAAGTTAAGTGAGTGCCCAATTTCTTAACGAAGAAAAACCAATTAATGTTATTTATTGTCAGAAAAACGAAACAAAAAACCGCCACACAAATGTCCATGCGATAAAACGGCTCTAGTCGTCCCCAACATAAACTAAACGATATGCGTGCTCGTCACAATGAAAGCTTACCTACGATTTACGTATAACAAACAATCAAAGCGCATAATAACAATAATTTCATTTTATTTCTTTCGGCATTTGTTGGTTTTCCATTCTCTTTTTCTCCAAAACAAAAAGTGTTCATGTGAATATCGCATAAATCATCCAATCGCGCGCATATTGCCCTCAAAATTGCCTGTCCACATGGAAAAGCCAATCGCCCACAAATTATCTAATAATAAATTTATGATCGATTTTGAGTCGTTAAAAGAAAATGATATATTTATTTTGGAAATCATTTCGTTTACATGAAATTGGCTGTGTTGAATGATGGTCACCATGGTGGATAAAGTGAGTGCCATTTGAAATTTTGATGCAAAGAAGAGGTTTTCTCGTCAATTTACCTAGTCGGCTGCTTTAAATAAAAAAACCTCAAACCAAAGCCAAGTTGATATTAAACGAATCGATCTCATACATTTTCAACGATAGGGTTTTCTTGATGCCAAACACGAAAATCATCACGCATTGGCATTTTCCGTTTTCAAATTAAATTCACTTAAAGCATACTCGCCGCGAATTACATATGCAAATAGTCATTGGCCATCACGCGTACAATTAACTTCAACGATTGATTGACGAACTCCGATTTAATCGCCATCAAATATTTAAAGAGCAATTTAAGCAACTCTAACCAAAATGTACAAACGGAATCGACTGTCTTTTCGTTTTATTTGAATAATTGTAAACGGAAACTACTGAATATTTGATTTGAATTTTCTGTGATTTAAGCCATTTATACCGATTGTTGTTTGGCCCTTTGCACACAGCCACGCTGTCTTGTCCGAAGTCAAGAAATCACGCAAACAAATTTGGAGCAACAAACTTTAGCATTATCTTCAATTGATATTTCTTCTTTTTTTGCGTGTCATGCTTTACTGGGGCATGCATTTCCGCTCAGGTTTTAGCCTATACCGTTAGTCGATGTGGCCGCGGTGGTGTGAGAAAAATGTGTAATTCGTTTTGTTAAGAAAATAGAATGCAATTGGCAATTGTTGTTGGTGGTGAACATAAGACAATTAACAAACCACTTTTGTATACATAAGTTTTTCGCGTAAATGTTTATTCGATTTGTGAAAATCTCCACCAAATACCACCCGTCGCTGTAGACGATGTCACCAGTTCCACTTTTAATCTTATTTACAACTAATTCATATCCATTTCCACCTTTTGCTTTTCGGTCTTTCTCGCGGATTTCCTGCTTAATTTTAGTCGCATTTAAATGACATGGGGTTTTGTTCAATTTTGCTATTTGTTTAGCCAATTTTCGCTGCTCATTTCGGTTAAATGAAACCTCTTTTGATGCATTCGAAAAACTCTTTTCGGCAACAATGCAAAAATTTGCTCGCATTTACAATGTTTAACATCCTTTTGCCAAATGCAAACATTTTACAAAATGTTGCACGCATTCAGTGCACAATAAGAACCATTTGGTTGTGTGCGCCTCTCATAAATATTCACAATTAAATTAAATTATTTAAAATGTTTCATCGGCATTGTTTGCCGAATCATAATACATGTTACATGGTATAGCGGCGGCGTCGGCGACATTATTTGTTCGAGTACTTCCTGAATGTTGAACTAAAATTACTTTCTCTCTCTATTAGCCATTCCATTGTTGGTCACATTAAAAAAAGAACAAACCGTAAAAACTTTATTTTCTGCTTATACTTGACTAATAACATCAACAACAACAACAAAATAATTTCATTTTTGCATAAACATATAACGAACGATAATCGGCATCGGCATAATGAAGGGAATCGACAAACCATACGCATACAGGTGGCAAGAACGGGGTGCTAAACTTCATAGCGCTCTTATTTTTTTATTCCAAATGTGAATATGGCTTAAATGCTGTGAGAACAAAAAACACGCATACACACTAAACGAGCGCATGGCGCCGTTTGCATTTAAAATAAAATAAAAACAACAGAGTCGAAAATAAAAATTACAGAATTAATGGTTAAACTGCCCCGTTGACCACATTTTGTTTGACCATTTATTAACATTATCATAAGTATATCGCAAAGAGTGTGTGCTTTGTCACACACCAATTCCATTTCATACGAATATACAATTTTTTCTCTCGTTTCTTTTTTTATTTAACGACATTCGTCCGGCTGAACATTAAAATGTGAATAATTTTCTTTATTTTCTCGGCGTGTATGTTTTGGGTTTCTCTATTTTTATATCCTAAAAATTTTATTTTTTTCACTCGACCACATTGCACGATAGCGCGGTCAATAGTTTCCTGATCGAGAAATTACAGTTTATTCCGTAGGCTTTTTATGTGTATTTAAATGTTTTATATATATTTTCGACGGTTTGTTCCCAATTTCGAAACGATTTAATTACATCATTTGTAGCATAGGCGAGCTCGCCATTTAAATATATTTCAATTTCAGCCTAAACTGCGAAACAAAATTAAACCAAACACGTACAAATGTCCGAACAACGTTAAATTCGTTTTGATCCAATTTAATTGTGATTTTGAACGACATAAAATTTATTACGCACGTGATTTGGTCAATTGCCTGCGAAGAAACAAAATAGCGGCCCACCTCCGCCGAGGAACAGGAATCAAACGACAAGGAGACCACATGAGAGAGAGAGAGAGAGAAGGGACCGAAAATGCGTGTTTCGTTCGAGAAGCAATTATGTGCGGCTAATTATGACAAAATATTTGAATTTCATTAACACCGTGTTATGACTTGAGCATTGTGTTCGCGTACCGCTCTCGCACATCTGAATCAATTCCAAACTTATTGTATTTTGTGCACACCTAATCACTCTACCTAAATTGTTGCGAATAAAAAAAATCGCCACAGATTTTTCGCGTTTTCATGTTGAGTGCGTGTGCACAATTAGTTGTTCAAAATGGTTGCGTTTTTCGTTTCATTTTTTATTACCTTTTGTTGTAATGGACGTTCTTTTTTTTCGCTAATTTTGCTTTCAATTTGTATAAATGTAAATGACAAATGAAAAGAAACCGATGTGCTTGAAACCTTAAGCATGTGTGTATATACATTACAAAGGCACCGATAAAGAAAAAAAAATAAACTAGCATTGTGCCACATTTTCATAATTTATGTCCACCTGAAACAAATCTATTGAATTTTTTATTGAGCTTTAATCACTTTGGTCTTTCAATACGGCGTTGACTTTGTGCCAGTGCCATGCATATGCCATGAAATGAGCGTCGATCTCATTTCGACATGATAATTGAATTGGTGTAGTTTAACCAAAATGCCTTGTTACAAACGCAAATCGATTGCACCTTATTTGTGAATGGTGAATGGCATTCCAAATGGGCTCGAATTGAAAGATAAAAA